GATCCACGAGAGACTTCTTTAATTTCGGTATCGTATCAGCTCTAAGTGCTTTAAGGCCAGTTCGCCACTCATCCTAACAATACAGTTCATGAGTTTAAATAATTAAACATGGATAAGTTCTTCATAAAGACATGCTTGCATAAACAAAAAAGGGGCAGAACAATACAGACAAGACAAAATTGAGATGAAAATTTGTTGGGAACCAATTAAAATCGAAACCTCACAGTACTTCATGACCCGTTTATCATAAAAAATAATTGCCTAATATTCACTGATAAAATTAAAATTGCAGATTCTATTCTCTGAAAGAGTGCCGGATGCAGAATTCATGTGCATGTTAAATTGTACCAAAGTCAAGACTCAAGAAATGCTTGCATAAAGTCCTGATTTAAGAAACAAAAAAGAAAAAAAAAAAGTTATATGTTGTCTAATAATTAGATCTACTTCGAAAAGGAAATGGACATCAAAACTCTCCCAGAAGAACAAAGAGAATTCGAAAGCATTTGAAACAGTAATAACATTTCTTTTTACTAACAATTTATAATAGTATTGTTCTTCAAGTGTTTACAAACACCGCTTTACCCTACCAATGAGAGAGGACAATCCATTTTCATTTACTTTTCCTTTTTCCAAATGACAAAGATTTTTCAATCTACATGAACGAGAACTGTAACATTAGATTCATCAAATTACAATTTAAAGACATTAAAGACTACAAAGCAGATTTGAATAGAGCAAGTACTCTTGATACAAAATTAATAAAATAATTAACAAAAAAAGTCAATACAAGATTCATAATACACTCTTACCAGGGTGAAGTAACCTTGTCTCTCTGCTTGCATTTTCCTAGTAACCAAAAAATTGCCACAGTGATGTTCCAACACCGAATACATACATACATGTGTATATATCAATTGTTGATAAGGAAAATGAAAAACTGACTCACCAAGCAAGCATTAACAATCGGACATCCGTGTGATCAACATTCAAATCTGAGCAGATGGACTCAATTCGTTCTGGACTGCTCAACAAAGATTCCAGATTAGACACCCCAGTCAATTATCAGGAACACTGAAAAACTAATGTACAAAATAATTACCGTAACAGTGACTATCAATCAATATGTAATTCAATGAAAATGATTTAGCAGGCATCTACGGACTTAATAACATTAATGGCTAAGTCATGTTGTGTAAAAACCAAATTCCATAATGGTAGGACTTGAGTAGCCAGAACAGAAATGCTTTCACCACTAACCAAATAACTAAACTAACTCCGCCTTAAATGAAACTTAAGAGGAAAATAGTTTTCCCTGTGATCTTGTATTAAATTGCACTTTCCAATTCCAAAATATCATAAAAAAGAGAAGGAAAAAACAGATGGCCAGAAAAAAAGGGGATAGGATAGAAAGGACAGTATCGGACGACAAGTAGCAACTGTAGTACAGTTCAGTAATTACATGCTTAATTTTCTTTTGTTTTTTTAGAAAAAAAGAAAGAAAGAAGTGAAACTAATTAAGCATACTTTTTCCAAACAAAATATCAACCAACTTCAATTTCTTTTCAGCAAAGCTTTACCAAAAGATCAGGGGTAGAAATTTATCGATGAACTAATTAATGTAACAATGCCATTTTAAGTTTTCTTCACTTAAATTCAAGAGCAAAATGGAAATTTATGGTAAATATATAGTGCTGTGAAACTTGAGTCCATTGCCAAGCATAGAACAGAAATAGCATGAGGACATAATAACGTAAACAGGAGTATGAATCATTGTAAAATAGACAACACTTACTCGATCATACCAGTGGAATTGTCAGCATATGAATAGAAAAGATGATCAATTCTCTCCAGCTCTTTGGAAGCTGCTTTACCAGAAGCTGAAGGAAAACCAAAGAAAAGAAGATATATAAGCTAAAGAAAGAGTCAATATATATACAATTTTTTCTTCTCTAGTTGTCGTTTTCCATGTTTAATTAGGATTAGATTATACAAGTTCATTGTATAAACAGAAGTATACAATATATATTGCCACCATTCATTTCAATGGCCTATATAAGTAACATATTTTCCTTTTCTTACAAGAATCCGCTGCATCCGACATTTTAATTTTAAAATTGTATAACTAAAAGGCAAAATACAGAAGAAAACAATTAGGACAAAGTTAAAAAGAATTCGTAAAATGTCATGGAAGCGGGAGAGCAGCACAACTCAAAGTGCTATGAAGTGGACCTTACGTGTTTTGACAGAACCGTCTTATGATTTTCACATGTTCTAGTCCATTCTCTTTCACCCCTAACATGTCAAGAACTCGGTAACTCACTATCCAATCCACACAAAGCAAATTCATTTTATGACGAACTGTCTTACAACGCAGTTCTTTCACATTCCAAAATAATTATCATTTCACCATCTTAAAACTATACAATCAAAATCTCTAAGAGATATTTATGCTCAGCAATCATCACTGACTTACAAGTACACAACCAAATTCTCTAAGAGATTATATATACTCAGCAATATTGAGGAAAAAGATCATTCAATGTTACGGCAGAAGTTAAAATTGTCCAAAATCCAGTGAACCTGATTCACAATCTGAACACACAATTTTAATGAAAAAAACAAGACAGCATAGTCCTCACAAAAAAAGTAGAGATAAAACCTATACCTTAAATGTACAAAAAGTTACAAAAAGAATTCACATACATAACATAAATGGAAAACAAAAGACGATCCAAAAATCCAAATGAAGAAAAAAGCAAAATGGAACCTGCGCGGTAAAGATCCGATGAATTGGCGGAGGCAGTGGCGTTTGTGGTCCCTTTTCTCGATGATGAAGTACGAGGCATGTTTTCCAGAAATCACCGAATTTTAATTCGTGGGGAAGAAAAGATGAGAACCCAAAAAGAAGAAACGCACCCCAGAAATATTATCTCCTTTCTTGCTTTTCTTCCCCACAGTCACAGAGAGAGAGAAAAAAAAGAGAGGAGCTTTATTTATTTAACGCAAAGAGACCGAATAACTCTGAAAATCTTCCACAGTAGAAAATGGTGCGTAATTATGTATGTACTGTACGTGTGTTATATCTGAATTAAAATTAAAATTACACGCTGCTGCGTACTCAAAGGCGGCGCAGCATAGCACAAACATGCGCATTGGTTTCTTTTTTATTAGAGTTATTTGCCATAAAAACCCCAATCTTTTACCCATTTGCAAAAAAAAACTCAACCTCTGTAAATTTGCAGATAAAATCATTATCTTTATTATTTGTTGCAATTGTGTCTCAAATTTTGTTTCCGGTCACATGGGCTGACATGGACCCGTCGAAAGGATTTGTTGGCGCCGGATTAATCTGATGTGGCACTCAACATTTTTATCTCGAGTCCACGTCAGGATACATGAGGGAAAAAAAAATCGACAGACGAAGCAGAACAGAAAGCCCCAAATCTTATTCTGAAGATGCAGAACAGAAATCCCAAGAACGACCTGCGATTTTGAAGAATCCTTCAAAATCCCTCACTGCGATTTTGAAGCCGTCAATATCCATCTGATTCTGAAGCTCGGATTTCCCCCTTATCTGCGACGAAGCTCGGATTTTTGACAGACGCTGCGATTTTCGGCTCAACCCTAGTTCAATTCGTCGACAGACGAAAGCCACAAATCAGTCTCTTTTTGGTGAGCGAATTGCATCTCTCTCTCCGTCTCGTTTTTTAATTGCTGGTTTGTCCTTCGATTTTGGTACTGCTGTTTGTGAGTTTGTGGTACTTCACCTTCGATTTTGTGGGTTCGTGAGTTGTTGGTTCGTAGTACTGCTGTTGTTGGTTCGAATTGTGGGTTCGTGAGTTTTTTCTTTGTTCAAATATGGTGGTGCTGTAAATTGCTTGAAACATGATCTCCAAATGTGATATCAGTGATTTTGGTACTGCTGTTCATTTTGCTATTGTTCATTTTTTACAGAAGTTGCGCTTGGTACTTGACCTTGTATTACCATCTTTAGCCACATGAACGAATTGATGTTTTTTTCCTTGATTTTTTTTGTTCTTCTGTAGTGGTTCTTATTTTTCTTTGTTCAAAGCTTTTTCTGTAAATTGATTGAAACATGATTAGTTAGTATTTAGGTACATATGTAGATGCAGTATGAGCTACCTTTTTCCATTTCAGTTACCTTAACATGTGGGAAAATGTAATTTATGTCCTTGCATCCTGGAATTTTGTACATGGATTATGTTTAGGGTGCTGTCTTTAATTTTGTACATGTGGGAAAATGTAATTTATGTCCTTGCATCCTGGAATTAGTTTACAGGTGGCTTTACACGTGGCTCTCAATCGTGTTTCGAGAAAAAATTCAACTGTCGAATATCTGAGAAGAGTTATGTCTTCTTGTTCGCTGGGAAGTTGTTCGCAAGGTTCTTTTAATGTTAAATGCGATTGTGGCTTCAAGGCGCAACGATGGACATAAAAAACGAGCTCGAATCCTGGGAGGAAGTTTTATGGCTGCAGAAATTAGAAGAAGGGGGGATGCGATTTCTTTTCTTGGTGTGAAACTGATCAAATGGGAGCTGCTATTGAAGATGAAGGCAAGATTCCAAACCACACATCATGTGAAGTCGATATTGCTTCCCTAGAAAAAAAAAAAAAATCAAGTTTGGAATTGCATATAGAAGAAACCAAAATCATGAAGCAGAACTTTAAAATTGAATTGAAGACTCTGAATCGAAGAATTTCAAGATTGGAAGTATTGGTATCATTAATGTTTGTTTTTCTTCTTTTATTTGTGTATTTGGTGAAGTATCGATAGGGGTTTGTTTAAGTAGTCAGGAGAATTGGTTGGATGAACAATATGGATTTTTCTTTTGCCTTTGTTTTGATTTATTGTATTTTGAATTATCTTGTTTGATCTTTTAATTGTGTTCATTTGGTTTTTGATCTTTTATTAGTTTGTTCTTTGTCTTAAGTTCTTTTGTTTCTGTTTTGTACTTTCTGTTTTAGGCTTTGTGTAGTCATGTTGTAAGTGTTCATTTGGTGTTTTGTAACAGTCTGTTTTGTAAATATTTTTACAACACAAATATACATTTCCAAAACCAATTTCACAACACCAACATACATTTCCAAAACAACAACAATGTTTCCAATACTAGTTTCACAAAACAACAATGTTTCAAATCACCACCAACATCACAAACTCCTGAAAGTGCAAAACATGGTTCAATACACACTACAAAAACTCCAAAAAAATAGAAATTAAAACCAGTGTTGCTTTGAAAATAGCATAACACAAAATGCAATTTATAGAAGCTACATAGACTACTTCACACTTCACTAGTCTGAGTTCCAAAATTAGCTTCACCCTCCGCTACACTGCTTGTCCCACTTGCAGCATCCGCCTCTCTTGTACTCTCTCTTTCAATGGAGCTTGCAGCTGATGTCACATTTATTGAAGGTATGAAGTGGACTTTTTTGTTAGCTGACATCTACGAAAAAAACAGGCACATTAATATTCATACAAATTAAACTGATGTAATAAAATTAAACAAAAATATACCCTCAAATAGCTATTCCCTGTTTGTTCAGATTGCAAAAGTCCAATGCCTTTTCTTGCCTACAAAGTAAAGACATTTAAATTCCAAGATTATTTAAGAATTTCAAAACTGAATAAAAACTATAATAAATAAATTTATATTACCATTGCCCTCTCTTTCTGAACAATTGAGTTGATATTTTTTTTAATTGGTAACTTAGGCCTCTTCTGAACAGATGGAGCGTCTGAAGAATCCACATTTTTCTGTGGCCTTCCTCTCTTTTTCTACAATGATATTAAAAAAAATAAATTATTATATATAAATATGTCAAAAAAATAAAAAAAGGTTGGGTAAATCATTTCACCTTCTCTGACTTTTCAACTGGTTCATTTTTACATGTCTTTTTGTTGTGACCTTTTCTCAAATAATTTTGACAGGTCATTTGAAGACCAAATCTCTTCAACTTTTTGCCAGACAGACTCTCTTCTTCGGGGGCCATTCTTCTTTTCTTCTTAGGCCTCCCAGACATCTTTCTAAATGGTGGTGGCTTGATAGGATAGCCAGAGGCAACAGGCCATAATTTACTACCATTAAGTGGTTCCAGAGCAGTAGAATACAACTCAATGTATCTTTCAACACTATACCACTCATGTACATAATCAGTTGGATCTTTATGCAGAAAATGAATAGATGAACATGCATGGATGCATGGGATTCCAGTTATATCCCAATGCCTACATGTGCATGTCTTGTTCCTTAAATCAACAACAAACTGATCCTCAACACATGTGACTTGAAATCTCTCCCCCACAGCAGGTTTTGTAACACAATGCCTAGACTTGAATTTGTTACTTTCTAGCACCTTTCTAATCCTAGGACATATAGCATCACCCACCCCACTCATTTGCATAAGCTTATCATATTGTCTTTCCATAAGATCACTCCTAATGCTTTCCAGCATGTCTATGATATGCTTTCCCCTAGCCTTGACAATATACCCATTAAAGGTTTCACTGATATTATTCTCAATCATGTCACATTTAGGCATGTGGGAAATAAAAGCCTTACAAAACCTGGAAGGATTTCTCTTAAGAAAGTCCTCATATGCATCCGGGTCTTCGGCTTTCAAATCGTCTAATGCAATGTTGTATGCAGCTTTGTGTGTGCTCAACACCAACCTCCAAAAAATGAACTTAAAATCTTGGCCATTGAATTCTTTTTTCCAGTTCATATAAACATGCCTTGCACAATTTCTGTGCTCAGCATGGGGTGTCAAGTCTGCAATTGCATTTATCAATCCCTGTCAACATATAAACTAAAATTATTAACCAAACAGATAAAAAAAAAAAAGTAACATTTATGACCTTTGTCATAAAAAACAAAATTAGTAATAAAAAAACTTGCCTTTTGTTGGTCACTCATGAATGTATAACCAAGCCCATCATTTATCCCCAAGTCCTCAAATAGAATGGATAGAAACCATTTCCAACAAGCTTCATTCTCCGCCTCAACTACTGCCCACGCTACAGGATACATTTGGTTATTTCCATCCTTTGCTGTGGCACAAAGTAATGCACCACCTAAGAATGTTTTCAAAAAACAACCATCAAAGCCTAAGACAGGTTTACATCCATATAAGAAACCTTTCCTAAGCGCACTAAATCCAACATAGAATGATCTAAACACACTGTCATCTTCTAACTGAAACTCAAATCTTCCTTCTCTGTCTACTCTCTACAGCTCCGCCATGTAACGTCTGAGAGATGCATAGTGCTATGTCGCAGATCCTCTCAACATTTCCATTGCCTTCCATTTTCCTCTGTAAAGCTTCCATGTGGTAGGTTGAACAGCATAATTAGTAAGTATGTCATCTGCAAGTTGAGATATAGTGAAGTTTGGGTTTTTTCTGAAAGTGCCAATATATTCCCTAGCAATCCAATCCGCGGTCACCTGTCTAGTGTGTACATCCCTATGGCACCTGTGTTCAACATTAAGAGACTTTATTGCAAACCTACCTTCAGAAGTGATTGGAGAAGCATAAAGGCTCCAAGGACACCCATCACTACACTTAGCTTGGACCTGCCTTTTGTTGCTCTTAACATTTTTAATATTATAGCCATTAATGATGGCTACCTTTTGAATAGCCCTTCTGACTTCTTCAGCGGATGTAAACCTCATCCCAAGCACAAAATTAAAATGCTTGTGATCACACTTAGGATCATAAAAGACCCTTTCTTTCACCCTTTTTGGCCTGTCCTCATCCACATCAAACTCATCACTGCTAGATGAATTAGAGATCATTGCATATTCAAGATCTGATCCCTCAGTGCAAGTTCTTCATTAACTAAAGAGAGGGCCAAATCTTCATTCTCGGTCTCATCTGGAACAAACTTCTTATATTCTTTCAAATTCTTTCTAGACGCAATTCTCTCTTCATCATCTGAAGCAAGCTCATGATCAGATAGCTCATCATCATCAGATGAACTCTCGAGTACAGGAACATAATCTTCATCTTCACTACTCCTAGATGAATCTTCCTCATTTGTGTTGCTATTTCCAATCTGAATCATCGAAAATTCATCATTGTTTGTAGCCTCATCTGCACCATGATTCAAATAAATTGAGAACTCATCCCTGCAAGAAAAGAAAAAATAACCACAAGATTTGAGAAAATGTACATTAAATAGCAACTTACCAGTCGATAATAGCCTATGAATAATAATAAGTATTAAGTAAAACAAGTATTAACATCACTCAATTACCCGTTCTCCATTGACGAAAGTCGCGAAACCTTGTTCAGAGGGAAAGGAGATTTGTTTCTTTTAACACCTGAACACCAGAATTCAAAAACATTTCAGAGGGAAAAGAACTTTGTATTGTATCTCCAAGAACACAGGACCTGTTCTTTTTATTACTGAAGAAATCCAAATAAATCCCTGTACAAAATTCCAGGATGCAAGGACAGCTCCTTACAACAGATTGATCTTTTAGCTTTGTAGATTAGATTTTTCCTTAAGTGTAGATGTTGTACCTTAACATCCTCAGAATTTGTAAGTTGTCTACTGACTAGAATTATTTCTGTAGACCTTGTAATAATTATGAAACACCAAGATTTATAAACATTTTATCCTTTTGCCTTTTCCTTTTCTTCTATTTGTGCATTAAAAATCTAATTAACAGAGTGTACCCGTGGGACAAATAAAAGTTCCTTCAGCATAACTTTAAAACATTCATAATAGATGATTCATCTTCATCATCCAGAATACACAATATTAATAAGAATAAGATGCAACTAATCCACCATATTTGAACAAAGAAAAAACTCACGAACCCACAATTCGAACCAACAACAGCAGTACTGCGAACCAACAACTCACGAACCCACAAAATCGAAGGTGAAGTACCACAAACTCACGAACAGCAGTACCAAAATTGAAGGACAAACCAGCAATTAAAAAACGAGATGGAGAGAAAGATGCAATTCGCTCACCAAAAGAGACCGATTTGGGGCTTTCGTCTGTCGACGAATTGAACTAGGGTTGAGCCAAAAATCGCAGCGTCTGTCAAAAATCCGAGCTTCGTCGCAAATAAGTGGGAAATTCGAGTTTCAAAATCAGATGGATATTGACGGCTTCAAAATCGCAGTGAGGGATTTTGAAGGATTCTTCAAAATCGCAGGTCGTGCTTGGGATTTCTGTTCTGCATCTTCAGAATAAGATTTGGGGCTTTCTGCTCTGCTTCGTCTGTCGATTTTTTTTTCCCTCATGTATCCTACGTGTTGCTGACGTGGACTCGAGTTAAAAATGTTGAGTGCCACATCAGATTAATCCGGCGCCAACAAATTCTTCCGACGGGTCCATGTCAGCCCATGTGACCGGAAACAAAATTTGAGACACAATTGCAACAAATAATAAAGGTTATGATTTTATCTGCAAATTTAAAGAGGTTGAGTTTTTTCGCAAATGGGTAAAAGGTTGGGGTTTTTATGGCAAATAACTCTTTTTATTATAAACCGTCAACGAAGCGCGCAATGGACTTGTACCCTGATTGATTCGGGCCTACAAAATTAGGGAAAACGGCATATATCCACGTATTAATTTCATTGGCAAGGGAAAAATATCTCTTACGGTTATGAACCACACAATTATTATTTGTACGACTGAATGATTGTTTTGACGTTGATATATTTGTATTATTACAAGTTGTGTCATCATTTTCCTATAAATAGGAGATTCAGTTATAATGAAAGTAGTACTATGAGAACACATTTTCTCTATTCTCTTTATTCTCCCTCTAGTTTTATAACACGTTATCAGCACGAGTCTATACCCTCTAGAGCTCGATTTGTAATTTGACTAGAGTATGCTCTACAATCAGTGGCGAAACCAGGATCCCGTTTTGGGGAGGGCCAAATTTACTTTTAAAAAAAAAAATTCACGACAAAACCAAACACAAACACAAAAATAAATGCAAACTATTTAAATTATCGTTCAAATAACATTATACAAAATAAAAATACAATCTAGCTCCCAACCAAGGGGGAACTAATAAGATCGGCACGCGGTAACTGAAATCTTCGGGACGCCATGTTCTGAAATCTCTGCAAAATGACTTCATTTTCAATTTTGATAAAGATTTCCTTTTCAATGTAGAACACCAAGCTATCCGTCAAAAAATCCTCTCCCATTTTGTTGCGCAAATCATTCTTGATAATCTTCATCGAGGAGAAAGCTCTTTCAACAGTAGCAGTTGCGACGGGCAAAACTAGTGCCAGCTCAATAAGCCGATAAACTAACTTAAGAGCAGTGTGCCACTTTCTCTCAACCATTCTTTTTGCAAGGTTTCCAACACTTTGAAGATCAGAGAAAAATGCACGCTCATATATTGTGACTATCGAGATGTAGTGATTCAATTCTTCTTTTCAGTTTGAACTCATCATCAAAATCATTTGGATATAATTGAGCGAGACGAAGCAGTCTTTCATGATCAAAGTTAGCAAAAGAATCTCTCGGATCAAGACAAACTATGCACGAAATAAGTCCGTACTCAACTCTCCAAAATGATTAGCCATCTCTTGTAAGATAAAATCAACAACCTATTAAATTGAGAAAAATAACCTAATTATTAACACTATAATAAACAAAAAAAAAAATGTTAATATGAAATTAAAGAAAAATAGTTACCGGAAGAAAAATGTCTCGTCGAAAAAAGTGCAAGTAAGTCTTTGGTTGGTCATCCACTTGTCTTTTAGATCTAGGCCGACCCGGTAAATGATCTTCCATATTCGGCACCAAAATGCCTTTTTGAGAACAAAATTCCTTGACGCTTTCAAGAAATTCCTCCCAACCATCCTCCCTAAACTTCCCCAAATCTTCCTTCAACGTTCTAATCAAAACGAAGGCTTTAACAATATTTTGACTTTTTTCTTGTAAGGCCGCCAAAAGTACGCTTGTTTTTGCCAATATTGTCATCAACAAATAAGCAATGAATACAAATTCAAAAGTTGTTGATTTAGCAATCAAACCTCTAGCAACGCCTCGACTTTGGAAATTTGTGGCTTCACTCTCAACAGTATCAAGAACGTCTTGTACCGCATCCCATATTTCCAACATCCGCTTGATTGTCCTATAGTGAGATCCCCAACGCGTAGCACCCGGTCGAGCTAAACATGTTTCTTGATTCAAGCCGGTCCCCGTAGAAATCTCACCACTTTGAATACGTTGTACAAGGTCATCGTAATGTTTTTGTCGAATAGCATCCATTCTTTTACATAAAGCTCCAACAAGATTCACAATTCTTACAAGATAATCCATAAAATCACTCACACACGTGTTCTCTTTTGAAGTTGCTACAGCCACTAGTTGAAGTTGTTGAGCAAAACAATGAACATGATATGCGTGTTTATGTTCTTGTAAAATAAGAGTTTTAAGACCATTGAATTCACCTCTCATGTTGGAAGCT